TATATATACATACAATGGAATATTACTCAGCCATCAGAAATGATGAATACTTACACTTTACAATGATGTGGATGGAACTGGAGGGTATTATGCTAAGTGAAATAAGTCAATCAGAGAAAGACAATTATCATATGGTTTTACTCATATGTGGAATATGAGAAACAGTAAAGAGGACCATAAGGAAAGGGAGGGAAAACTGAATGGGAAGAAATCAGAAAGGAAGACAAAGCATGAGAGACTCTTAACTATGGGAAACAAACTGAGGGCTGCTAAAGGGATGGTATGGGAGGAGATGCAGTAACTGGGTGATGGGCATTAAGGAAGGCACGTGATGAGATGATCACTGTGAGTTATATGCAACTGATGAATTGTTGAACACTACCTCTGAAACAAATGATGTGTTGGCTAATTGAATTTAAAAAAAAAGAATAAAACTATAAAGATAGATGGGAGAATGACAGTTGCCTTTGAAGGGGTGGGAGATTAACTAGAAATGGGTATCAGGAATCTTTCTGGGGTGATGACAATGCTCTATATCTTGATATTTGCTTTATATTAACATTTCCTAAATGCATTAAGCTATATACTTAAAAAGAAAACAGTTTTATCTACATGAAAGGAAAAAAAGAGATAAATGTTATTTACTGAGACAAGAAACCCTGGCACAGGACATGTTTTGGCATATAGAACTTTGAGATGCTTATTTGTTACCTAAGTGGAGTTCTCAATTAAGTAGCTAGGTTGCTTGATTTTGCCACATTTTGTTAACTCTAGATGCATACTTTCATATTTTAGTGTTGCCGAAATTAACCTATGTCTTATAATCAACGGTATGCCATAGTTAAATTTCTAGTCCTTTATATTTCTTAGTGCTATGTAAATTGATGGTGCCTTCAATATCTGTAAATCTGTAAATCCAACAAAATGTTGTTAATAATAATGACAAGGAAGAACACCATAACGCCAATTAGTAGCCCACAAATGACCAATTAACAAAAACTTCTGATCACTATCGAGTAGGAACCACTGACCCATAGAGCATCCAAAATAATGTAGGAGTGATCAGAAAAGGCAATGGCTTCAAGACAACTGACCTTTCTTCCATCCACCCACAAGCAAGCAAGATGGAGGAAGAGACAGGAACTGCTATCATTATCTAAATAGGATAGAGGCTGTACCAGCATCTGTTAAATGAAGGTCATCATAATAATAGTAATAACTAATGCTTAAATAATACTGGTTATTGACTAGGTGTTCTTCTAAAGACTAGATACTCTTCTAAAGACTTTACTTACATTAACCCTTGTAGTCTTCATAACAGCACTATAATGTGGACAGTTTTACTATGATACTGAACCGGAATGAGGTTAAATAACTTGCTTCAGGTCACATAGCTCATAAATGGCAGATCCAGATTCATACCCAGGCAGTTCAGCTCAACAGCCTCTGCTATAAACCACTGCTATCTTTAATGAAGACAATTAACTACTTGGTGACCTGGGAGCAATAGAGAAATTTCGTGTGGGCTTTTGCCACAGAACCAAATCTAGAATACATACATGGAAGATCTTCAGATTTTTACTGCACATACAGCTTGGGGAGGAAGAGGTAAATAAGAACTCTTATTGTGAGTTCTGAGAAAAGTATTACTACATCTGAATCCAATATGGCAGTACTGGCTCAGCAGTGCAGTGAAAGGCAGTTGCTCCATAAATAACAAAAATTATCAATATCAGCAACAGTAGTTAAATTCCTATTTTCATCTTGGGATGACATATGTAATAAAATAGAAAGAGAACATGTTTTATAAGCTATATGTTTTCTAAAATTAAAAGTGTTTATCTGTAATCATCTTTGATATTATGAAGGAAGGTACAATTATTCAAAAATCATAATGCCTTGTTTGTATAAGATCCAAGCCTCCATTTGTGTTACCTGATGGCAAATGGTGACATTAGCAGGACTCTGAGCTAGAAACCTTCAATGTGAGTCTGCTGTTAGAATTAGCACCATGTCTTACTATCCTAGGAAATGCAACATTCCACCAACTTCATGTGTTTCTGCTTAGTCTTCAATCAGGATATACCAGTAAGAAAAAGTGGCAGTTCTAAGTTACTGCCATAGAGATTTTAGTTTAAGGCATTTATTTTGCCTGAAATTGGAAACATTTGTTTTTATGCATAATACAGTACTTTATTGAAACTAGTAAGCATAATCCTATCAAATAACATTACTAAACATCCTTTTTTAAACTAAAGGGGTTAGAAAGATACAAATGTTGGGGAGGGGAGAAACCTCAAGTGTAATTCTATCTTTTCACGCTAAATAGCTACAATTATTGCTCATTTTTCTTACTTTAATTTTCTTTATGATTTCAAAGAAAGAAACTCTGATCTATCTTGTTTCCTTATCTTGTCCATCATGGAAAACTTCAGCATTGTATTTTATTTGCTGTGTGATTTCTCATGATACAATGCTGTATCCCTAGCCTCCCTTATAACTCGGGAAGTCACACCCTGCCTGAGGAGCTCCCTCTCAACTTCTGGAAGAAGTACGACTGAATGAAAAAAAATAGAGTATGTTCACTCTTCAGCACTGCTTTATAATAGTTCCAGCTTCCTCTCTGCTCTTGACAGATGATGTTTGCAGGTGTTGACACAGATATCACACATCTAAAATAGGTGCTCCATGGAGGAATTTTGAACTCTCCTTTTTAAAAGGAGGCAGAAAAGTCCCTAATATGTGTATAACTGAAAGACGCAATACATATTATTTATTATTTTCTGACTGTCATCATTTCTGTTATTACTGAAATAGTACTAGATGAAAATTGATAACACATTCACCTAGTACATAAAGACATGATGCCATATAAATGCTTTATATATCTTATATCACCTAAATGTTAGGATTATCCTAGCAACAATTTTATGAGACCAATATTGTCACCTGAAGGTAAACTGATTTGTCTAATATTTCACACCTTGTTAATGGTGATTTGAACATTAAGGCCCAGGTCTGTCTATATTAGCTGGGGTCCAATTAGGAAATAGAAACTACACAGTAATTTGAGCAGGAAGAATTTAATGTAAAGAAATATTAATTATGATCTACTACTAAGGGTAAAAATAACTCTAAAAAATTGAGAAGTATATGTATAGGTAGTGGCAGGTACTCCTAGGTCTGAAGCAGAGCATCCAAGGAAAAGAATAAAAAAAATTTTTTAAAAGATTTTTATTTATTTATTTATTTGTCAGAGAGAGAGAGAGAGAGAGAGAGAGCGAGCTCAGGTGGGGGAGTGGCAGGCAAAGTAGGCAGAGGGAGTAGCAGGCTTTTCACTGAGCAAGGAGCCTGCTGTAGAACTTGATCCCAGGACCCTGGGATCATGATCTGAGCTGAGGGTAGACACTTAACTGACTGAGCCACCCAGGTGTCCTGGAAAGAACAAATTTTAAAGAAGACCTTCTATCCCCCCACCCCCGCCATGGGAGCACATCTTGGAGAGGGCATAGCTCTGGCCCAGTGAATAGCAGAGAAGTTCACTGAGATAGCAGGCTAGAGGAACTCATAAGAAAGTCACTTTCTGGGGTTCTTGGGGAACTATCCATAGGGAGGTGTCACAGTGTGGAAAGTGCTGCACCATAAACTTGGTGGAAAGCTCCCAGTGTGAGTGTGGTGGGGGGTGGTTCCAGAAGACACCCCCTAGAAATTGTCCTACACTGCTGGGTAGGACACTGTGAGAGCTAACAGAGAGAACTACCCCAAAACAGGAAGAGCCCTTTCATCGTCTAGTTCACTTTGTGGTTTTCTATGGAAGATGCTTAAAATTGTGTCTTACGGCGAAGAAGTGTTCTAGTCTTACAAGCAGGACAGTAAAAGGTGGATGAGGAGTGAGGTAATAGATTGATACCTGGCACACAGCATACCAACAAATCTCCTTTCTTAATCATGTAAGCATTATGTCATACTGCTTTATACTTACTGTACCCAAAATATACTATTTAACAAAATAAAGGAATATAAGAAGAAAGGAAGGAAATCAGGAAAGAAAGAACAAAAATGTAACAGGGTTATAAATGAAGATTTACATCAGTATTTCTTTTTTCTTTGAAATGTTTCTAGGTAGAGTCTCCTTGAATTCATTGCTCAGGAGATGGTCTTATTGAATTTTGGGCAATGGCTTATCAACCAAAAACTGAAGTTGCAAAGTGGAGGCCCGGGGTCCAAACCAAAGATTTTTCACTCTGTAGTTCAAATAACCTTTGAATTCTAGTTTCTTCATTTATTAGTTAATGCACTTTATGTTTGGTTGACAATTTTTTTTTAACAAATCAGAGTTTTCTTAGATAATCCAAAGCCTAATTGCATCATTTATAGACTGCAAGATTTAGGCAAGTTCTTTAATTTCTCTGGGTCTCAAATTCTTTATATAAAATGGAAATAATAATAGGATATGCCTTATAGATGTTCTATGGAAATTAACTGTATTACTGTTTAAAAGCCCTTGTAAAAATTCCTTGTATATATTAAGTGGTATATAAGTATTTGTATACATATCATTATATTTTCCTACAGATCATAACCTAGAAATATTAATTCAGTCATTCCACTTTGGAGAACTCTATGTTTAGTCAACATTTTTGTCAGATTAATTTGCTTTCATTGTTTAATGGCAATTAAAAAATGTCATGTTATGTGTAATATGGATCCTGTTCATTGGCTACCCTACTTTTTACTATACCTATTAACTATACTTCTTTAAACTTACAGTGTTTAAAGATGATATTTGTAAAATACTTACTCCTTAATTTTTGCTAGGAATTATCTGAAAAGTAAGATTGTTGGTGAAGTACCTTGGGCTAACCCCCCCACACACACTATCAACATAGCCATTAGCCATTTGAATTACTAAATAGTTTTAATTTACCTCACTTACAAGAAACACATTAGACAAAAATGTCTAAAATTTAAAAATTTTTTAATATTCTTTTTTTTTACAGACCATGAGAAATATTCTGAACTCATCAAGAAGTACAATGCAATTGAAATGTTATTTACACTCTATCCTCCTCAAGGTGCCCACGTGCATAATAATATACGACTTAGGTCAACTTGGCTGAGACCCATAGTAAATGGGGAAGAAGGATACAGATATATAGGTAAGGTGCTGAATCTTATTATTTCTTTTTATAATATAGAAGAAATGACCCTTAATCTTAGGAAACAGACTGAGGGTTGTTGGAGGGGTTGGGGGTGGGAGGGATAGGGTGGCTGGGTTATGGACATTGGGGAGGGTATATGCTGTGGTGAGTGCTGTGAATTGTGTAAGACTGATGAATCACAGACCTGTACCCCTGAAACAAATAATAAATTATATGTTAATTAAAAAAAACTTTAAAAAAAAGAAGAAATGATCCTTTTTAGGACTCTTATTTGTTACTTAGATAATATAGGGTAATACATAGGCCCTATAGAATATTCATTTCAGTTGTTAAGTATTATGCCTGTAGCTTAAAAAGTGGTTATTTTACACTTTGGTGCCTCCTCGAGAATAGTGGAAACATACTGTGTTTTTTCATTCACCAATGATGGACATTTGTGTTACTTTCAAAAACATGATAATCTAAGGAAAGTTCCCATGAACATTCCTGCACAGGTCTGTGTCTAGACAAATGCTTGCATTTGTCTTAACTAACCTGTTTTCCAAAGTAGTTCAGTTATTTCATATTCCCCATCAGGAGAGGTCTGAGAGCTGCATTCACTCCACAGCTACATCAGTACTTGGTTTAATCAGTTTTTCTCTAATTTTAGTCTTTCTAATAGATATGTATTGATATTCCATTGTGGTTTTCATTTACATTTTTCTAGTAGATGATGTTTTCATGTATTTGTCATTGTATGTCATTGCTGGTGAAGTATCTGTTCAAATCTTGACCATTTTTTAATATATATTTTTTATTTGTCAGTGTTAAAAAGTCTGTCAGTTATTCTGAATAGAAATCCTTTAACATATATTCTTTGAAAATATTTTCTCCTAGTTTGTGTCTTGTCTTTTCTGTCTTTTTATAATGCCTTTTGAAGAGAGGTTTTTAATTTTGATGAAATCTAGTTTACCCTCATATTTTAAAATTTATTAATATATAATGTATTATTTGTTTCAGGGGTACAGGTCTATGAATCATCAGTCTTACACAATTCACAGCACTCACCATAGCATATACCCTCCCCAGTATCCATCACTCAGACACCCTATTCCTCCCACCCCCCCCTCCAGCAACCTTCAGTTTGTTTCCTGAGATTAAGAGTCTCTTATGGTTTGTCTCCCTCCCCAGTCCCATCTTGTTTGATTTTTCCCTCCCTTCCCCCCACCCCTGCCCTGCCTCTCAAATTCCTCATATCTGAGAGACCATATAATAATTGTCTTTCTCTGATTGACGTTTTTTACTTAGCATACTACCCTCTAATTCTATCCACATCATTGAAAATGGCAAGATTTGTGTTATTTTTTTGATAGCTTCATAATATTCCATTGTATAAATATATCACATCTTCTTTATGCATTCATCTATTAATGGACATCTAGACTCTTTCCATAGTTTGCTTATTGTGGACATTGCTGCTATGAACATTGGGGTGCACATGCCCCTTGAGATCATTATATTTATATCTTTAGGGTATACCCAGTAGTCGATTGCTGGGTTGTAGGACAGCTCTGTTTTCAACTTTTTGAAAGTTCCTTTTTGAGGAACCTCCATACTGTTTTCCAGAGTGGCTGCACTAGTTTGCCTTCCCACCAACAATGTAGGAGGGTTCCCCTTTCTCTGCATCCTCACCAACACCTATCATTTCTGACTGGCTAAAATTAACTGGTGTGAGGTGATATCTCACTGTGGTTTTGGTTTGTATTTTCCTGATACAAAGTTTTTGCACAGCAAAGGAAATAGTCAACAAAATTAAAAAAAAAAAAAACCAACAGAATGAGAAAAGATATTTGCAAATGACATATCAGATAAAGGGCTAGCATCCAAAATCTATTCAGAACTTATCACACTCAACACCCAAAGAACAAATAATCCAATCAAGAAATGGGCAGAAGACATGAGCAGACATTTCTGCAAAAAAGACATCCAGGGGCGCCTGGGTGGCTCAGTGGGTTAAGCCGCTGCCTTCGGCTCAGGTCATGATCTCGGAGTCCTGGGATCGAGCCCCACATCGGGCTCTCTGCTCAGCAGGGAGCCTGCTTCCTCCTGTCTCTCTGCCTGCCTCTCTGCCTGCTTGTGATCTCTCTGTCAAATAAATAAATAAAATCTTTAAAAAAAAAAAAAAAAGACATCCAAATGGCCAAGAGACACATGAAAAAGTGTTCAACATCACTCAGCATCAGGGAAATACCCTTGTATTCTTTATGTTTTTATTGTGATAGACAAGATATATTGGTCAGACTTCTAGTCACAAGGTTTTCTTCTAGAAATTTTATACTTTTGGGTTTTATATAGCAGTATAAAAATCTATCCTGAGTTATTCTTTTTCCTTGGCTTTTTTTTTTTTTTTTGTACTTGGTTTTTGTATTTTTTTTTAATTTAGTATGTTGATACCCAGATGTGCTAGTGCTATTTGTTGAAATGACTTTGTATTTTGGCAAAACCAAATAGACTAAGAAGATATACAGATGGTGAATAAGGACATGAAAAGATGATCAACATCATTAGTCATTAGGGAAATATAAATTAAAGCTACAATGGGAATATTCACCTATTAGAAAGACTAAAATAAAATTAGAAAATATGACAGCACCAAGTCTGGCAAGGATGTAGAGCAACTAAAACACTCATTCATTACTGCTGGAAATGAAAAATGATGCGATCAATTTCTAAATATTTTGGTTACTCTAACCATAGACCCAGCCACCTTACTCTGGGTAATTACCCAAGAGAAATGAAATTGTTTGTTGACCAAAAACTTATGTATAAGTGTATATAGTTGTTTTAGTTCTAATTGCCAAAAGCTGGGGGTGCCTGGGTAGCTCAGTGAGTTAAAGACTCTGCCTTCGGCTCAGGTCAAGGTCCCAGGGTCCTGGGATTGAGCCCTGCATCAGGCTCTCTGCTCAGCAGGGAGCCTGCCTCCCCTGCTCTCTCTGCCTGCTTCTCTGCCTACTTGTGATCTCTGTCTGTCAAATAGATAAATAAAATCTTTAATAAAAGAAAGGGTTAATTGCCAAAAGCTGGAAACAACATAAATATTCTTCAACTGGTGAGTAGATAAACAAAATTTGTTACATGTACACAGTGAAGTATTTCCAGCTATAATATGGATTGAACTTTTGACACACACAACAACATGAATTTCAGATGCGTCATGTTAAGTGAAAGAAGCTAATTCATAGGTTATATATAGATTCTATTTAAATGACATTTTGGAAAAAGCAAAACTATAAGGACAGATCAGTCCAGTGATTTGCAGGGTTTATTGTAGGAGGGCTTGGTTACAAAAAGGCGGCATGAGGGATTTCATAGAGTGATGGAATTATTCTGTTTTTTGATCATGATAGTGGTTATATGACTAAAAAATAGTTGAAATGAACTGTATACCAAAAGAGTGAATTTTACTGTAAGTAAAATTTTAGAAATAAACACAAGATAAAAAGAGAAAAGAATTTATGTGAATGGCAAACAAGTCCAGAAGATGTGCATCATTATTACTCATTAGGGGAATGTAAATTAAACACAATGGGCTAAGAACTTACTATAATGGCTAAAATTAAAAACTGAACACACCAAGTGCTGACAGGGATGGGTGGCAACTTTAACACTAATATTCTGCCAGTGCAAATGTAAAATGGTCAAAACGTTTTGCAAAATAGTTTGATATTTTCTTTTTTTAAGATAATAATGAATTTACAGTTTATTGAAATGATACAAATTCCATAATTTGAAATAAATCAATACAGAAAATATGAAGAAAAAGAGCAACAAATCACTATACACACCTAAACACAAGTGTACCAAATTCCAGGTATACCTCACATATACAGAGAGAAATGAGATATAGTGAGAGAAAGGAGATTTGTCAAAGTAACTTTATAACAATGGAATATTTTTTTTAATTTTTAACTTTTTAAATTTCTATTCAATGTACCAGAATTTATTGTTTTTTTTAATTTTTTATTTCTTTTCAGAGTAACAGTATTCATTGTTTTTGCACCATACCCAGTGCTCCATGCAATCCGTGCCCTCTCTAATACCCACCACCTGGTTCCCCCAACCTCCCACCTCCCGCCCCTTCAAAACCCTCAGATTGTTTTTCAGAGTCCATAGTCTCTCATGGTTCACCTCCCCCTCCAATTTCCCTCAACTCCCTTCTCCTCTCCATCTCCCCTTGTCCTCCATGCTATTTGTTATGCTCCACAAATAAGTGAAACCATATGATAATTGACTCTCTCTGCTTGACTTATTTCACTCAGCATAATCTCTTCCAGTCCCGTCCATGTTGCTACAAAAGTTGGGTATTCATCCTTTCTGATGGAGGCATAATACTCCATAGTGTATATGGACCACATCTTCCTTATCCATTCGTCCATTGAAGGGCATCCTGGTTCTTTCCACAGTTTGGCGACCATGGCCATTGCTGCTATAAACATTGGGGTACAGATGGCCCTTCTTTTCACTACATCTGTATCTTTGGGGTAAATACCCAGTAGTGCAATTGCAGGGTCATAGGGAAGCTCTATTTTTAATTTCTTAAGGAATCTCCACACTGTTTTCCAAAGTGGCTGCACCAACTTGCATTCCCACCAACAGTGTAAGAGGGTTCACCTTTCTCCACATTCCCTCCAACACATGTTGTTTCCTGTCTTGCTAATTTTGGCCATTCTAACTGGTGTAAGGTGGTATCTCAATATGGTTTTAATTTGAATCTCCCTGATGGCTAGTGATGATGAACATTTTTTCATGTGTCTGATAGCCATTTGTATGTCTTCATTGGAGAAGGGTCTGTTCATATCTTCTGCCCATTTTTTGACATGATTATCTGTTTTGTGTGTGTTGAGTTTGAGGAGTTCTTTATAGATCCTGGATATCAACCTTTTGTCTGTACTGTCATTTGCAAATATCTTCTCCCATTCCATGGGTTGCCTCTTTGTTTTGTTGACTGTTTCCTTTGC